TAACGGAAGGCTGCTAAAGAGATCAGAATAAGAAATCCCAGGATTAAGGAGCTAATTTAGGATACTGTAAATTCAGTGGGGAAGAGTCATGGTTAATACAGGTTCCTGAAGTTTTTCTGAGTGGTATCCTGCTCATCCTGAGTCCTACGGTAAATACTTCCCAGAGCCAGGTGAGTAGATACAGTCCAGGTGGACAGCAAGTCAGTATAAACTCTGTAGTCTAGGTAACAGTTCTCTGACTCCCGGATTCAGCTGTTTTGTCTATTCAGTCAAGTCAAAAGCACATATTAAGCATCGACTATGCGTATAGTGTATCAGCTAGAGTTCAAATGAGAGTTAATGTGTGTGGATTTGAAAAATTGACCTACTTTTTTTTTTCAATAAACATCTATTGAGCATCTATTATGTTCCAAGCAGGAGGGTCTGTAAGCTCCTTGAAACAAGGTGCCACACGTGCCTTGGTCCCTGCTGTATCCCCAGCATTTCCTTAGTCTATTGCCTGACGCATGACAGACACTCAATGAATAAAGTTTGAAAGATGACAACAGATAGACTTGGGAGACAGATGTACATAAATGTACATAAAATAATAAGGCTATATTGTAAATACTATAGAATATGAACAAATTATGGTATGATCTAAGAAGAAATTAACTCCAGCTAGAGAAACTGGGAGAACTTCATGGAGGAAAGAATATCTTTGAAGTGAGACTTGAATGAAAGGTAGAAATTTGACAATTTGAAGGCAAAGGAAGGTATTCTCATTATTATACACCAGGAGCAGGAAAGTTACATGCTGTTAGGAACCGGGTAGTCAACATCCATGAGAGAGGCAGACTGGGTAGGGGGTTGAGGAACCTGTGAGCACAAGCCCCACCTAACAGGAGTAGCCACTCAGCTGCCGCTAATTGTTGTTATGTGGGACTGAGGAGTCCAGGTGGCCAGAAGGACCAAGTTTCCAACAGAAGCCAGAAATCTGGACTGTTCTGTAAGATCTCTATGTTTTACTATTGCAAGTAATTAATATCAAGAGACTTATGCTGGCCCCATCTTTGTGACTTGTATTTTTTTATTGTTACATCTTGGATAAACTGAGCTCTCCCCATTGAGATAATCTGTTCCTTGCTTCAGGATTAATAGATATTCATTGAAATAATGTAGAAATTCCTATTGTATCATTATCTATATTTATTAATGCATAAATTGCATGTGAAAAGAGTAAGCTTAAAATTAGAATCTTCTATTTTGAATGACCCTGTAAGATAAGAATTATTAGTTAACATTTTGCATTTTTGCCCTTTAAGAAAGGTTAACCATAATATTTTAAGCCTCAGTCTGCTTTTTAAACAGAACCTTGTCTTAAAACTTTTAAGAATTTAGATTTACTTGCCTTTTAGGAAGTTCTTAATAAGCTAATAAGCCATTGTATAACACAGGGATAAGTTGTGAAGATTATATATTACAGACAAGGAAGGGCTTTCCTAAATATGATAAATAACATAAAATCTTTTAACCTTGTCTTTTGTGCACAAAGGCACCTTTAAGGGTGTCTCCAGTAAGTGCTATATTAACACAGAAGTTTAGTTAATTACAGCCACTATTCTCACGTACCTTAACCAAGTGTGAATACCAAGCAATCTCATAGTGTGCCCCAGAGCATTAATACCTAATGAAATTGGATTCCTTGTTTCCTCTAATGAGCTCATTGCTTTTCTAAATATGGTCATTGCAGGTAAATGATCAATAGCCTTGAAAATGACACCACTGCTGGATTATTTTGCCAAGAGACTCTTTTTTTAGTGTAAAATGAGTATTCTCCTATATATATATATATAAGGTTCCTTTCTAAAGAAGCTGATATGTAACGAGAAATACCACGGTGGGTTGGTTGGCTTGTTTTAGTGGCTGTTAGACAGCAGGAAATGTGGACAGTCACTGTTCGATTGTAGAGCAGTGATTTCAAGTCTGCATAACCTGGCTCAAGTTGGAATAAACTGGATGCAGTATGCTCCTGTTAATTGAGAGACCGAAGGGCGATAAGCTATGAGAAGGCCTGTTTTCTATTATGGTATAATAGTTCCCTACCAATCATCTCTACTGTATTTGTTTCCTACGGCTTCCATAACAAATTACCACAATTTGGTGGCTTCACACAAGAGAAATTTATTCTCCAAGTTCTGGAGGCCAGAGGTTTGAAGGCAAGGTGTTGACAGGGTTGCACTCCTTCTGAAGGCTCTAGAGGAGAATCCATCCCTTGCATCTTCCAGCTGCTGGGGGCTGTCGGCATTCCTTGATTTATGGCCACATCACTTCCAATTTCTGCCTCTGTGGTCACATTGCCTCCTGCTCTATGTAGTCTCTCATCAAGACACCTGTCATCAGATTTGGGGCCCACCCTCGTAATCCAAGATGATCTCCTTATCTCAAGATCCCTAACTTCGTTACATACGTAAAGTCCCTTTTTCCAGTAAAGGTCACATACATAAGTTCTGGGACTTAGGACATGGACATCTTTTGGGGGGCCATCATTCAACCTATTATATATACCTTTCTTCTCTTATATAACCCTTAGTAATGTTGAACACAATCACTATTCAGGTTGTTATAATGTTTAAGTACTTTACTAAGATCATTTATGAGCAAATCATTTATATTATGTTTGTAATTTTTGATTCTCATAACTATCTTAGCACCATTTCCTTTATACAAATAAGACTGAGGCTCAAAAAAAGTAAGATCTTGCCCAAGGATACAACACACCTAATTAGTATCAACTTAGATTAAATGTCTATTACTTTTTTTCTTTTTTTTTATTAACATATAATGTATTATTTGTTTCAGGGATACAGGTCTGTGATTCATCAGTCTTACACAATTCACAGCACTCACCATAGCACATACCCTTCCCAATGTCCATCACCCAGCCACCCCATCCCTCCCACCCGCCTCCACTCCAGCAACGCTCAGTTTGTTTCCTGAGATTAAGAGTCTTTTATGGTTTGTTTCCCTCTCTGGTTTCGTCTTGTTTCATTTTTCCCTCCCTTCCCCTATGATCCTCTGTCTTGTTTCTCAAATTCCTCATATCAGTGAGATCATACAATAATTGTCTTTCTCTGATTGACTTATTTCACTTAGCATAATACCCTCTAGTTCCATCCAAAAGTCTATTACTTTTTTAACCATTGCTTAACTTGCATGCATATCTAACTTGAGATGTTCACATCCTTCTTTAGAAATTGATACGTTAAATTTCACAAGGTGGACCTTCTTTGTTAAATTTTTGGTCCCTGTGTTTCCTTAGGCAGATAACATTCCCAAACTCCAAAACATCCCTTCAGATTTAACCTTAGGAGGAGTAAGCCAAAGTGAGGTTTTGTAGAATAATAGCCATAGGATGATGTTAAAGTTAGGGCTTAACACTTCACTCAAAGCTATCTTCCAATTTCCAATGCTAGCCTGAAATGAATTTGGAATTTTTTTTAAATGGGTTTTTAAGTATACTGCAGTGCTTAAGACCAAACACACAGACAGCTGCATTTGAGTCCTATCTCCTCCACTTACTAACTATGCTTTCTTGGGGTTATCACTTACTTTTCCTGTGCCTCATTCTCCTTATTTGTAAAATAGCTGAGAATAATTGATATCTCACGGGATCCTTTAAGGAATAAGTGAGATCATAATATACTTAAGTAGTAACTGCTTCATAGTATAGACTCCATGTAGATTTTTAAAATTATTACCAATTAAGAGTATTTTACATATAAAGTGGTAATAGAAGCACAACATTAAAATTCGTGGTTGAGTGGCAAGCAGTGCAATTTTATCTGGCTCACAACACAGCTTCAAGGCAGAACACAGAGCAGAGAGTTTCAAAGCACAAATATTCCCTGATACGGTTTGCTTTTGCAGATCAAAGTGTTCTATGTTCCTTCTTTCTTTCTTCACACCAGTTATGATCTCCCTGCTTTTGCATTTCTCTTCCCACTTTGTTGTTTATTCTTTCTTTAAGGAAAAAACTTAAGTTTTTCTTTTCCAAGATAATTCTTGGTTAAATTTTACTAAACTATTCCCAGAATTCCCAGGTAATGTGAATCTGTAATTGAATCAAGACAAACAATCATATTAGCTCTGTTCCATATGCATGAGCTGTGTCAGGAATATTTGAAACTATTTTCCGTTGGCATGTTTACAATTTTAAGAAATCTATTGTGACTTGCAGCTTATAGATAAAGCAGGGAAAGGCTGAGGACACTGGTATCTTTTAGCTCTAGGTGCACACTTAGAATCATCTGCACAGAGTTTCTAAGTAAAAGTGGTTTACGGCTGTCAGATTGTATGAAGTTAATTCTTAATTTGTTCACATCCATCTCATAGCTTAAACATTTGTAGTGTGTCAGTGGAGCAAGGAGGAAGAAGTTGTGGGTCTTCATATTTGATTTACTGTTTTCTTTAGGTATAGTTTTCTTTGGCAATTATTGTAAATTTATGAACTTCATATATAATAACAACTTTCTTCATGGAACTCAGTGTTTATGGTGAGCAAAAATTAATGTACATTCTTAACAGACTCAGGATGTCAAAGTTAGCATCCATTGTTGGACTGATTATTTATTGATTGATTGATTGATGAACAAATGTCAGCACAGGAAAGCCAAGAACGGTCTCCATGTTAAACTACGACTCCATGATGGAACCAGCCACAAACATTTGCATATATGTAATTGTGATTTTACCTATGTTGAGCACCACACCCCCTGCCGGCGGCCCCAACCCTCCAATCAGGAAGTGAATTCATTTCCCTGTGGGGAAAGCCTTTAGCTATTAGTGCTTAAGGGAAAATACCCTAAAACATTGTGTTTGTTGTAAATGAAATTCTGATCACGCTTGCAGCCACTGTACTTTACTATCAAACGCACAACAGCCAAGGTCTTCCTTTGATCGAGGGGAGCTGAAGGGTGTCTGCGTGAGTCATTTCACATGGTGTCTTCTCCAACATCTAGGTGAGCACAAAATGCCGAGGCCTCTGGTGGGAGTGTGTCACGAATGCTTTTGATGGGATCCGCACCTGTGATGAATACGATTCTATCCTTGCCGAACACCCCCGTATGTATGCGTAGACAACCCCTTTGCCGGGGACGGGGTACCAAACAACACTGAACTTGGGTTTCCATTGCGTATTTTTATTTTCTACAGTCTATGGTAAAGTTCTGTCTAATTTTAGATGTTTCGATTAAAACATTTAGTTTATTTCAGAAATGTGAATTGAAACATCTCGAGCATATTTTATCTTTTTCCACGTATTTATACATTCCTTTAAGGTAAAAATATTAACTTATTCATCTCTGCTCTCCCAAAGGGCCTGGCAGAATGTCTTACACACAGTAGACTTAAAGTAAACACTTTTTAAATTGAAATGAATTCTTCAGGGTGTTGTGATTTGAGGATTAGAATCCACAGATTAGATGAAAAGTATTTCAGAGATGTCTTTTAGCTGTGACCTAAGTCAAATAAGAAGTTTACAGTAATTCAACGGGAGATTTTCTGAGAAAGAGAGAAGGTGAAGTAGAGGGGCAGAGACAGAGAAACAGAAAAACAGACATGGAGATAGATAGGTAAAGAGAGACACACAGACAGGGATCAGGGAATGAAAAAAATCAGTGTACACAGGGTTAGCAGGTAGGGTAGAACCAGCTCCTTCATCTTCCCGACCTTTAGCTTTAAATTTTAATCAGGTGTTAGCAAGACCCACGTTTCTATGAAATAAAGAGATTTCATAAATTAAAAATTGTTGTCATTGATTCTCTCAGTTTTTCTCCATAGCGTTTATTTATTTATTTAGAGCATCCAGTCATGCCAAGAAATACAGGTGCTGTTGTTAAAGCTAATTGGTTTCGGTCTCCTTCAAAGCATAAGATGAGGTATAGCAGAGAATGGCAATTTCTTTTCTCAAGATAAATGAAAAGCAAGCCCTGGGAATGTGACTTTTCCCCTCGACAGCTAGTTCAGTCCAGGGATAAGCACTTAAAAGGAGCAGTGGTTGAAAATATCTTCTGCTATTCAGGATTTGAGTGTTCTTTAATCTAATTCCTGAGGCCCATATTTCATTTTCTTTAGGGCCTCTTAATTATTTCTCTTTTACCCTCCTTGGGCTAACCTAATTCTACCTACAAAGAAGCATGATTTGGTCAATAAGAGTGTAAGTTTATGTGGACACTAGGCTATTCCAGAAATTTAGTCCTATGGTGAGAGCAAGAAAAAAAAAATTCAAACTTCTAAATATTGTTATGTACATTTATGCAAGAATAACAGAAAATCACTCATAAGCTTACAGCACAGAGAAAACTGCTGTTTATATTTTAATATTTCTTTTTTTAATCATTTGCCTATACTATCTCAGCTTTTTAAATATATTCTTACCTATTAATTTCAAATAATATGCTAAAGATTCATTACTTTTATTTAAAAAATTCTATCATATGCTTAGACACAACAGAGATGAAACTATTCTAAGAAAATAACATAACTATGCCCTCTAAGGATATTACCTGTGAGATTTCAGTTTTAGTTTTTGGTATCTTTTATAGAATCACAATTTGATAACCTTTTCCATTGTTCTGTAGACCTAGGGTATACAGACCCAGACAATTTTTTTTTCAGGACTCTTGTTGAATACTCTGTCCCCAAATCAGAATATTTAACATTATTCTAGCAGCCAGATCTCAGACAATTTCCAGAAAGACATTCCCAGAAAGAAATTCCTGGTGGTTAGCGTTAGCCATCTGCCTGTAGAGCTGCCCTCTTGGAACTGGGCTGGCCATGGGGCTGACTGGATGACACGATAGGCATGAGTCTGGGAGTTCCACAGAGCATCAGAAATCACACTCTGGGGGCCCCTGGGTGGTGCAGTCAGTTAAGGTTCGACTCTTGGTTTTGGCTCAGGTCTCAATCTCAGGGTCTTGGGATTAAGCCTCACGTTGGGCTCTGAGCTCAGCAAGGAGTCTGCTAAAGTTGCTCTTTCCCTCTCCCCCTGCCTCTCCCTGTTCTCTCCCTCTCTCACAAATAAAAAAATAAATAAATAAAATAAATCTAAGAAAGAGAGAAAGAAAGAAAAAAAGAAAGAAAGAAAGAAAGAGAAAGAAAGAGAGATGAAAGAAAGAAAGAAAGAAAGAAAGAAAGAAAGAAAGAAAGAAAGAAAAAGAAAGAAAGAAAGAAAGAATCACACTTTGTATGGGATTAAGTGTTGGAGAGGGGAAAACCAGGGCCATGATTTTAGGGCATCCCATCCAGATAGCAATCCTGGCCTTGTTGGACCCAGGTTCTAAAAGGGGACTTAAAAATGTTTAAGGAAGGCACTCCAAAGTGTGGGACTGCTTGGTTTGGGGTGCTGAGTAGGAAACCCACTTGTATATATTATTTGAGGTTCAATAAGATTGTTGAAATATAAAAACTGATATCACCTAGTTACATATTTTTCTCTTTCCGAAATAGGCTTTCGATTTGGCCTAAATTAGAAATTTAAGTCTAAATTGTTTGAAATAATGCCACATTTTAAGATCTTAAATATTCACCTATTAATCAGGTAGAAGTTGGGGCTCCTGGGTGACTCAGTCAGCTAAGTGACTGATTCCTGATCTCAGCTCAGGTCTTGATCTCTAGGTTGTGAGTTCAAGACCCATAATGGGCTCGACACTGGGCATGGAGCCTACTTAAAAAAAACAAAACAAAACAGGTAGAAGCTGATTTTATGCATCAATTTCCTCTCTTAGATGGATCATAAAAGTATTTTTTAAAAGATTTTATTTATTTATTTGAGAAAGAGAGTGAGCAACAGAGAGAGCACAAGCTGCAGGGAGAGACAGAGGGAGAAGGAGAAGCAGACTCCCTGCCAAGCAGGGAGCCCAGTGCAGGGCTTGATCCCAGGACCCTGGGACCATGACCTGAGCTGAAGGCAGACGCTTAATTGACTGAGCCACCCAGGTGACCCAAAAGTATTTTTTTATTTTAAATAAATTGGCCACCTTTTATAAGCAACCTATTGCTAAATAAACCCTAAATTTATCTTACCACTGAGGAAAAATTATTTAAAATGCAAGGAAACCACAATCACTATGAAAATAAAACATAATTACTGTACTATCAAAAGAATAAATCGTGTCACTCCTCTAGTGGCTAAAATAGTAGTAGCTTTGACATAGGATAATTAACTTTCCATCTGTGACAAAATTTTCCTATTTTTATTTTTTTAATTTATTTTTTAAAGATTTTATTTATTTCATAGAGAGGGAGCACGAGAGAGAGAGATCACGAGCAGTGGGGAGAGGTAGATGGAGAAGCAGACTCCCTACTGAGCAGGGAGCCCAATATTGGACTCTTTCCCAAGACCAAGATCATGATCTGAGTGGAAGGCAGACACCTAACTGACTGAGCCACCAGGCGCTCAAAATTTAGCATTACTGGGAGTCACAGCTCAAGAGGTTTTCATAGTTGAGGATGCTTCCATTGCAGATGATGACGGCTACTATTCCATTCTGTTTACCCTATATCCTCTTCCCTGGACCTTATAGCATATATTCTCATGTGGCCATAGTTTTCAATTTTGCTCAGTTGGCAGTGCAAGGCTAAAGGGTTAATATGGAATGTCGGCCAAGAAGGGTCACCACCTGAAGCAATGAAAAAGAATATGACCCGGCCTCTAGATATAGTTTTCTACTAAATAACAGAAGCTCCTTCTCCTAAAAACCTGCTGATGGCTCCCATCAGCCTGAATTGGCAAGTGACATATTGAAGTATTTTATCCTGCTCCCCTATACCAAATTTTAACCAGTTATCAAAAGTATATTTTTTTCAATAGACCTTCAAACAAATGGCAGTGATCAGTAATTTCTTAAATATTTATTGGGATAACTTCTGCAGAAGAGATAGTCTACTTTGATAGACTCACTCTAAAACAGGAAACAAACAAGGAAACAGTTACTTAGTCCACACTATATGCCAGGCATTTTGCTAGGGGGCCAGTAAGACTAAGTAATAATCAGTGCTTAAACAAATAATAATATCAATAATCTATGATATTTTTGTATTTTATGAAAACATTCTACGTTCATGCAAATTTGAAGTCTAATTCTCGCAGTGGGTGTGTATTAATGTATGTGATTATCTGTTTTGGGGTGCACCTGTGTGCCTTCACATGTTTCCTTCCTCTGACCACAATGTAACCACATGCCCTGATCTTCCAGTGAAGCTGGTGGTAACTCGAGCATTGATGATTACTGCAGATATTCTAGCTGGATTTGGATTTATCACCCTGCTTCTTGGTCTTGACTGTGTGAAATTCCTCCCTGATGAGCCATACATCAAAGTCCGCATCTGCTTTGTTGCTGGAACCATTTTACTAATAGCAGGTACTCTCTGCAGTAGTGGTGGGGTAGAGGAGCACATCTATGGTCTTGAGATGAAGGAGAAGGGTGCTTGTTGTCAAGCAGTTCAATTTAGGAACATATGTGACCTGCTTTTCTAGATTGGAGGAATAAAGAGCACATCCCCCAACCCTACTTACTTCAGATATGGAATCAAATAATTAATTTTTGTTAATATCCTGGAGCAAAGTTTATCGAAGTCCTCAAACTACTTTTTAACCATTTAAAAAAGTTATATAATGATCTAAAATTTTCAAATAATTTATTTTTTGATTATTCCTGAAGTTAAATCCTCAAGTATGTCCCAAAGCACCACCTCCTTACCTGTACCCACTCCCACCAATTCTTTTTAGCAATGAACTTAATTGTGCCAAGGCCTATGTTAGAGTTTTCTCATGTGCCAGGCCATTTGATCATAAATGTAACAATAAGCAGATTATATCTCCACTTAGGAAGCAGATGAATAAATGGAGTCCTGAAGGCTAATAAATCAAGCATGACTAATAAACAGTCAAGAAGCACTTTACATGGTGTTTATTGATGAAAGAGCAAGGTCTGTCATTAAATTCAGTTTAGTCTTCCTCTGTCACAACATGATGTCTTCTTAGGATCTTAATGCAAGTTGGGAGAAAATACACTGTCAAAGAAATCAAAGTGCAGGAAGATTGAAAACCAGTGGGCACACCCCTCAGAGAGAAAACCATCATTTTCTTATGGTAGCAGCCAAAAGTTAGCGGAGCAAATGCTCATGGGAACATCAACAGGCAGTACAAGAGGAATGGATAGGGATTTTGGAACTAAAAATGCTTGGAGGGGCGCCTGGCTGGCTCAGTAGGTAGAGCATGTGATCTTGAGTGGTGAGTTGGAGCCCCATGTTGGTGGTAGAGTTTACTTAAAGAAAATAAAAAAATAAAATAAATAACGTGGAGATATATACGTGTGATGTGTGAATTAAACAACTGGCCTCCTTTTCTTGATCTGCAAAATAAGGTAAAGCCCCAGTAATAATATCTACCCTGAATTGCTGTCATGAAGATCCAGTGTGGGTAGAGTAAGCACGTAGCAGAGAGCCTAACCCATCACACAGTCAAAACTGGGGCTTCCCTGAAGTTTTACACACACACATTGAGTCAAGGCCTGATGATCCTTAGGTTGTATTAAAAAGTCACAAGAACTTACTAAGTTTTCCTTTTTAAGACATTTATTCCCATGTCCTGCCTAGTAATAACATAGAGCTTTTGTACATAACAATGTGTTTTATTTAACAAATTTAAACATCATTTAATGCTATACAATTTTGCTCCAGAATACTTCTTGAAATATCACTAGATATACCATTTTTTTTATAAAAAAACAAAACAAGCTAAATTAAAACAAAAACAAAGAAACAACGAATTGATGAAAAAAATCCCTACAGGAATGGATGAAGAAATGAAAAAATTAAATTTCCAGAGATGGCCAAAGGCTTGGAACCATCATTTGAAACTAGTATGCCATATATATTATATATAAAATACTAATTTTATGTATGAAATACTAATGCCATACATATGATATGTTACTTATAAATATTTATGGCATACTATTTTCATATGGTATGAAATATATACATATTTCATATATATTTATCTATGTGTGTGTATATATATAATTTTCCATAATCTGTAAATTTCATAAAGGAATTTCCATCTTAAACTCGTAGATTGCAATATTGTAGAAAATATGTGGTAATTTAAACCATTATCTGAAGGTTTTATGTTCATGATCTGGTCCTTCTTAAAGTTCTTGCATTAAACAATTGGGAAAAGAATGCAATGAAATGGTGAACACTATTTTCACATAGCCTTTGTCCCATAGTTCGCCACCTTTTTCCCTTGCATCTAAGCAATGATGTCCAATTTATACCTTTAAAGTGAGAGGACTCTAGTGGCGTCATTTCAAGCCAGTCCAATTGTCAGATAGACTAATTCTGGGGATTAAGTTTTGTTTAAAAGGAACAAAATTTCTTAGCTCATTCTTACATGGTGTGGGGGTGGTAGATAAGAATTTATTTTATAATAAAGACAGTTTTTACTCCAGTTATTTGTTTTTGACCCCTACACACTAAAATTATTGACTTCAAAAGCATAGTTTCCTTATGGGTGTTAATTATGTAGCTGACATAACTTTAATCGTGGGTCTAGGTGGTGGGGCAGAGGAGAAATATAATCCTTAAAGACATATACTTTTAATTAAAAATCAATAGAGGATGAACATATGCTGTATATTATTTGTCTTCGATTTTGTGTTCTTTCTTTTGTTTTTCATATTTCGTTTTACACAGCACTTAAGAAAACATTGGAAAGAGGGAAATTAAAGAAAACCACAATGAGCATTTTAAGTCTACACACACAGAGGAACACTGCATTGTTTAATCTTTGTATTTCTCTTTATGTATAAACTTATATATAGTTTAGAAGAGATACAAAATAGAAAGCAAAAGGAAGACATAGAAGAGGTATCCAAAATTTGAGTTGTCCATAAATCCATAGAATCATTATTATCCCTCTAAATGATGCCAAGCTTTTGGGTAGCGGTCAGATCTCCTTGAATCTAAATTTGGAAAGGCCTGCATTATTTTTAGCAACTTTCCTTTCTTTCAGGTGCCCCAGGAATCATTGGTTCAGTGTGGTATGCTGTTGATGTTTATGTGGAACGTTCTTCTCTGGTTTTGCACAATATATTTCTTGGCATCCAATATAAATTTGGTTGGTCTTGTTGGCTTGGAATGGCTGGGTCTCTGGGTTGCTTTTTGGCTGGTGCTGTCCTGACATGCTGCTTATACCTCTTCAAAGGTAAGAACAAAATAAAATAACACACTTACTTGCCACCTGTATCAATCTTCCTAGCCCGATGGAAACAGATCTCACCAACACAAAATAATGTTGCCTACTTGATCCCTACCTATTATAAAAAAATGACACTTTAACAATTTCTGTTGTTCAAGGACAACTGATTTGCAATATTCATGTCTTATTAGCTGGTTAGTGGTATATTGGGTGGAAAAAACAACAACAACAAACAAACCCACAGTTATAGCTATATCCAACATTTAAATATAAAATGATGATTTCAGTATTTTCAGAATTTTATATATCTAACTTCATCCAATCTACTAAATTTATATCTAGAGTTAAATAGAGAAGTAGACTGAGAGCCAAGTCAAATACTTGTTGTTGAAAAATGTAATGTGTTACTATTGGGTTTTTAAAAATATCACTTAAAAAGCAAGAGAATCTATCTCCTCATCAGAAAGAAAGAGAGAAAGAGAAGAGAGAGAGAGAGAGAAACAGAGAGAATGAGAGAGAGAGAGAGAAAAGGAAATCACCTTATTTTTAAATCGAAAAATAACTTTCCAGATGGAAATCTTTGATTTTCTTCTAGGATTCTTTTTCGATGATTCCTTCTTAGAATATTTATATCCTTGCCTCTTTATGAGAAGAATGTATAAAGTGAAATTTTCTCCCCAAAGTTTACAGAGTCTTAATGATTTTTATATCATGACATTTATCTCTTTCCAACAGATGTTGGACCTGAGAGGAACTATCCATACTCCATGAGGAAAGCCTATTCCACAGCAGCTGTTTCCATGGCCAAGTCATACGTAGCCCCTCGGACAGAGACTGCCAAAATGTATGCTGTGGACACAAGGGTGTAAAGTGCCACACGTCAGTCTGCATGTACGTTACTGAAATAATCAATCAATATGTTTGTGTTAATCCAGGAACACTTATTTTGACCTCACTATGTTCAACTAAATTAATTGCTCAGCTTAATCAAGAAGTTTGATTCTCCTATCCCTGCTCCTTTTCTGTCATTCTCATATTCTCCCTCCTCCTTTCCACCCTCCTCTTCCACATGCCCCCACGCACTTGCCCTGTATTTTTGGATAAGGTTGCTAGGGTATACAAATGTTTGTTTGTGATTTCTGTATTGCTGTTAGAGATTGTGACATGGTGATATTCAAGTAAAATGACACTTTAAGACTAGAAAGCAACCTTTGAAAGAGGCCAGGGATTCTAATCTTTGAAGGGATTGACAGCCTCTTAGCAAATTCCCTGGCTTTTGGTTCATTCTTTGTGTTCTCATCTGAGTGAGTTATTTGATAACTTTCAAGAAGATGATTCTTCGAAATTTAAGCTAGTACATCAAACCTTACCATTACTCTGACCCTGTTAAAATAGAAAAAATAAAACAGCAGCTTCATATACCAGCCACTGGTGGAACTTAAAGATAAGAAGTTTCAAACTGAGGGTTGCTGGAGTGGTGGGGGGCGGGAGGGATGGGGTGGCTGGGTGATGGACATTGGGGAGGGTATGTGCTATGGTGAGTGCTGTGAATTGTGTAAGACTGATGAATCACAGAGCTGTACCCCTGAAACAAATAATACATTATATGTTAATAAAAAAATTAAAAAAAGATAAGAAGTTTCCCTTCCACACTTGGAATGTCAAATGCAAATGCTAAATTAATACCAGAGCAGTGGTGACTTTCTTCCTCATTAGCAACATAAGAGATCTGTGTATTATTTTATCACTACTGTAATTTTGCCTATATATTGTCAAACTATTAGACCACAGCAACAATAGCTAAACCAGAGAGTTCATTCATTGATTGGACATCCAAAAATGTTTCATGAATGCACTATATTAGAATTCACTGACTCAAGTGTCCTCATACCACTGGATCCTCATCACCCAGCAAAATACATGTGATAAAATTTAACAAATAGTTGTTGATTGGAAGAAATAAAGGCTCACAACTCTTTACTGAAAATAAGATGAATTGCTAATGGGATTTTATTCATATTCTAATTTAATCATCTTAATTTTTTAAATGATAGGGCTTTTTAAAAAGTTACATAATTTAATCTCAGGTTTTCTGATTTCTTATAAATCGCATGAATAGCATGAATACTCTTGCAGTACCATAACAGACTATCCACTGAACTGGAAATTAGTTCTTTCGAAAATAGAGATTTAGTTGTGAATTTCTGAAGACCCCCAAAAGAAGTGTTTTAAATTTAAAAAGTTAAAAATCATGTGAAAATGAGATGATGAAAACCTAATACATATATTTATGTTGTTGTGAATGGTGTTCATGACTTCACATGGTATCTCTTTATCAGTATTCTAAGGAGAAATTCTAAGCGAATCTTAGAATTAAAAGCAACTGATTGATTTTTATTTCATGGATATTACTAACCATGTAATTGACATTTAAAAAATTATTTGTAGATCATGTTTACTCGTTATATTGGTGTTATTCTATGCAGTTTAAAACTTATTTTTTGTTGTTCCTTTTTTCACAACTTTGGTTTTTAAAATTTTTGCTCCTACTTTTATTTTATGACCTAATGTCTGTCATGTTTTATATATTCTAGTTAAGTCTCTTGAAATTCTTCTTGGGAAAGGCAGGGTAAAATTAATTAAATAACTCATTAGATTTTAGAGAGATAAATTTTTCCCTCCTTAAAGACTTCATTTGTATGAGGAAATATTTCAGAGGATTCTTGTGATAACTGACATCTATGAATGTTTTGAAATTTTTCTCAATAAAAATGTTTTATATATCCTGGGACATATATTAGTTTTTTTTAAATTTCTTTGGGAATGTTTATTTCTCATTCACTATTATTTAATGAAGCCTCCCAAAATAAAGCATAACAAAGAATATATTTTGTATACCAACTAAGGACAACAAAACAAATATTAAATAGTGAAGAAGTAATAATTGGCATCGTGGCAATTCAACATGCCCAGAAAGAAAAATTATGGAAGCCCAAAGTATACACACAAGATTATTAGGTTGAAATATTGAAATAGCCCGCTAACTTCTGGATACTAAAGTTTAGTCATATCTGGTTACTTACAACAAGAAAAAATAAAATTTATAAAATTGGACAATTGTATTTACCTATATCTCTTCATTAACTCCTATTTTCTAGTATCACATTTTAATTGAAATTAATCTTTTGTCATTATAGATGGTATATATGTGCATTGTAGAAAGTCAGAGAACAAAAATAATAAGAATGTATCTTCCATATTTTACAATATGGGCCCGTGTTCTCCCCACTGAGAGCATCACTGTTCCTAAAATCTCACTGAGTATCTGTATATCCTTCCAGATATTCTACATGTCTACACATATATGCAAAGACATTCCCACATATGCATATATTTCTTTTTAAGGGATAATTTCATATATGTTGCTCTGTAAGCTACTTTTTCCCCCTGTAGTATCTCTGCTTTTTCATAGTAATAAATTTTCATTTTTATCTAATTCCCTATCCATATTGAAATTTCCCCAAGTTTTTCAAAGCTGGTTTGTCCAAATCAGAATCTGCATTTCCTTTGGTTGGTATGCCCTTAAGTCTCTCTGATTCAAGCCACATGTTTTTTTCACTAACCCTGAAAAAAAAAAAAAAAACGGAACCAGTCTTCTTTAATTTTGTTCCACCTTTTGGATTTTTTTGATGTCAGTTAGCTTGTTTCTCTGTGCCTTCTATTTCCAGTAAGTTGAAATTTAAATCTGGAGACTTGATGTAATCAAGTTCAAAAGTTTCTAGAATATACTATGTGTTGTGATAGCATATCTGGAGACTTAACTTAGCCTCAGTTATGTTAAAATCATTCACTGGATGAGGATGATGGCCATCAATCCATCCGTTCTTCAGTTACATATATTTGTACTTTAGAGACAAAAACAAGGGATTATTATGGTGTTCTTCTGGAAACTGTAGAAATATTCTATTCTCCATCAACCATAATACTAATTTTATTTTATTTTTTTATTTTTTTTTTTAAAGATTTTATTTATTTATTTGAGAGAGAGAATGAGATAGAGAGAGAGAGCATGAGACGGGGGAGGGTCAGAGGGAGAAGCAGACTCCCTGCTGAGCAGGGAGCCCGATGTGGGACTCGATCCCGGGACTCCAGGATCATGACCTGAACCTAAGGCGGTCGCTTAACCGACTGAGCCACCCAGGCGCCCGATAATACTAATTTTAAAATAACACCTTTAACAATTGATAGTCCTTACCTGAATCAATAACTGGTGAGGGTTTGTAGAAAGATGATTTTCTAATTATAGTTTATTTACAACTGTAGTAGAAATTTATCCGTAGAATAAGCCTACTCTCTCCATCTGAGTCTGTGTAGTTACCATAACAAATCATGTCTCTCCTTTTGCTTAAATGTCTTTCTGTTGTTTCTAGGATAAAGTGACAAAAATTTTAACATGATTCTAGGCATAGTCAGTTGGGCATCTGAGCCTTGGTTTTGGCTCGGGTGATGGTTTCAGGGTTGTAAGATCAAGGCCTGCCTTGGCTCTATGCTCAGCTCTCCTCTCCCTCTGCCTGCCACTCTCCCTGCTTGTGCTCTCTCTCTCTCTCTCAAATAAATAAATAAATCTTAAAAATAATTAACAAGACTGCAAGCTCTAAACATTTTTTACTTTGTGTACTGCTTTATTCCCAGCACCCTGCACAGTGCCTGATGCATAGCAGGCCCTCAGTACGCATGTTTGAATAAATGAGTGAATGAATTGCAATCATACAGTGGCCTGCAAAAGCTAAGCATCCATTGCATGTGATTGATTTGTTGATTGGATTATTCTTACATTATTCATGCACATATTTGTGCAGTTTTATTAAAAGATCATCTGTGTGTTTTCAAGCATCCTCAAGCATAGAAGGGACAGAGACACAAACAACTAAAGTTAGTGTGCAATAAAATAATTGCTATAATTTGGTTATGTATGCACCGTCATAGGAAAAGCAGTCACTTCACCTGAGAGTAGGGGAGCCTTTGCAGAGGAGGGAGATTTTCAAAGAAAACAAGTTAGGAGAAAGTATTCTATACAGAGAACAACATGCACAGAGAAAGAATCAAGAGAAGGCAACTAATGTGCTAAAAATTACGAGCAGTTCCATGTTCCCAGAGCATAACTGGGAGAAAGAGGTGTGGGTTTTGTTTTGTTTTGTTTTAAGATTTTATTTATTATTTATTTGACACACAGAGAGAGAGAGAGCAGGAGCACAAGCAGGGGGAGCTGCAGAGGGAGGGGGAGAAGCAGACTCCCCACTGAGCAGGGAGCCAGAGCGGGGGCTCCATCCCATGACCTGAGCCCAAGGCAGACGTTTAACCAGCTGAGCCACCCAGGCGTCCCGAGAAGGAGATTATGATATTCACAAATTATTTTAAAATGAAAAATATGAGGAGATAGCATTTTCCCTCTTTCCAAGGTAAGAAAATTGAAGGGAAGGTATTTGCTAAAAACCCTCAATGCCATCATTAGAAATACAACCCAAGTCCAGAAGGTGCTAGTTTTATTTGGCCTGGCAACATCCTGGTTTCCCTAATGCAGCCAGCCCCTTTGAGGACTCCTCTATGCAGCAAAGTCTTATTAAGCCAGTTTTCACCATCACAGACATAATTCTGATTCCCAGTTAATCTTCCCATCATATCCTCTCCTTTACACTTTAATCTTCTTTCAAATCAATTGCTTTGTTTTTTCGGTTTTCTTTCTTTGTCTCAACGTTCTCCTGCTGGAGAGAATAGTTCCAATCTTATTTTAAGGGGATAAACTGAAAATTAGGTAGAAAAACATTTCTTGGAGTAAGTTCTGCAGTTTTTGAGCTTAGAAATAATTGTTCCCAAGTAAATAACGTTAG